CCCCCCCCCCCCCTCTCTCGCAGGGATTTATTTCAACAAGATTCAGTGCTTCTGCTTCGAGGAACAGAGGCTCCGCTCCGGGGAGGAGATCGACATGCCCGTCTTCTTCTTCCTAGACCCCGAGATGCTCGACGACCCGGCCATGGACAGCGTCAACAACGTCACGCTGTCGTACACGTTCTTCCAGACCGCAGAGGAGGATGCCGTGCTGGAGGAAGAAGAAGACGATGAAGACGAGGATGAGCGAGAGGGTAGACTGGCGGTGGCCGCACAATAGTAGCAGGGGAGGTGAAGGATGGGGGAGGGGGCATGTTGGCGACGGCGGCTGCACAATCGTGGTAAAGGTGGGACGTGCGTACTTGTGGGGTGCCGGGACCGGAGGGGGAGCTGTGGGTGAGCTTTTCTGTTGTGTTTTTTACCCGCGCTTGCTGGCGCTTGGGTGCCACACGGTTGGGATACAGGTGTTTTTGACCAGCTTTGCGGCTTACGCTTGGGGACCACGCGGTTGGGATGACATGCTTGGATCAGGAGCGCCAACCCCCCCCCGTCCCAACCCCACGAGTCGTGATGCCGCAGCAGTGGGAGTATTTGGGTCCCGAAATCTTGTCGTTTGGAGATTTTCCAACCGAGGTACTCGCTCGTATGTGTGCAACGCCGTGTTCACAAGTTTCCAAAAATATGCCTAGCCCAACGAGGTTCTGCTGTTTTACCGAGATGACGGAGTTCGTCGATTGTGGGGATCTCAGGTTTTGAGGGATTCGAAGGACGGAGTTTTGGCTCTAGGGATGGCGCACATCAAGCGTATTTGTCATCTCTCGTTGTCGAGAACGTCGTCCGCGGTGTCCTCTCGCACGATCGATGTGCCTGTTGTGATGTGTTCGGCCTAGCCTGGGACGGTTGGCGGGGGAATAACGGGCGGGGGAAGAAATCGCGGCGAAATTTCGCTTAACCGTGTTGTAAAGCGTCCGGAAATCTGGACACGGGGTGGGTCTTCTTGAGCGTGCTGATGTTTTTTTTGTTTTTTTCGCCTGTGTCTCCTTTCATGTTTCCTTGTGCGTCGTTTTGCGCCCACGCTCTCCCGTAGCATCTTTGCGAAAGAATCCCTGAAAGCGTTGAAGCTCTATCTTGGTGGTGTTTTTAGTTTCTCAGTGTAGCATGGCACCACTAGTGCGGTGCAGCAGACGAAACCCCCGTCAATCAAAGGAGGAAGAGGCCCAAACGGTCGCAGCAATCCCCGCAGTCTGTGGTTGTGCTCTGTCCAATTTCCGTGAGAAGCACGTGCATGTCTGGGTGGGAAGGGCAATTTGGCAGCCGAGACATGGACATGCTTCGAAAAACAGCCTTGTTCACCACATTTTGGTGACGAAAGTAATCATTGTGGACGGGCAACGGAGAGAGGTCATTCCCATCGCGCGAAAACTATCGCAGGTTCCAATTTGTTCCGCGCACTCTCGTGTAAAGCGTGTGGCGTATCTCCTTCGCCGTAGTCCCGGGCGCGTTTGCTGCTAGTCAGTCCGTTGCGCGTGGTGCACGGTGTTTGCGGGTTGTGTGAGTCAAACGCATTTTGGGTGAGGTAAAAAAGGGGGCGGGTGTTATAATCGCGTGCGCGATGCTGCTTTGGGAGAGGCAACACGGATGTTTGAAGGTGGACGAACAAAGTGAGAGCTGGTACACCCCAGCAGCAATGACCAACGAGTAGTGTGGCATGCCTGCATGACACATGTGTTGAACGCAGCGCGATTGAATATTGACGCCACCTACATAAGAGGCGAGCGGTTTACGCGTCGCCTCAGATGGCGGGGCTAGACACAAACCCAAGCAGTAGCGCCACCTGCCGAGTGATCAACAGCGGTGTGCAAGTCGCACATAGTCTCATCCCGGTAGACGGCGACGATCTCTGTGTTGGGGGATGGTCTGAACAGCCGCGAACTAATGCTGGCGAGTTTTTTTTTCGTCGCGCCCTACCGGCAAGGCCACACACCGTGAATGTCCTACAGCCAAGGTATTTTCCCAGGAATCTTGACCCTCTGCGACATTCAGCGACTTTCGCCCTCTTTGTTGCTTGTGCAAGCACAGGCGCAGCAAACGAGTATCGGCCGGCATCCATGAGAAGAGTAGCCGTGCCCCCTCGCCGACCCCCTCGTCCTTGCCGCACTCTTTGTGTTCTTGATGCCCCCACCAAAGCGCACTGCCCCTTAACAACTCCCCCACCACGACCGGAACATGTGCTCTCATCCTGTGCGCGTACGTACGTAAGTGTGCGCCTTCGATGATATATGGTTGACCCTGTCCCGGAACAAAGAGCTAGCTATCGATCCGCGCGCCCATTCGTCCGACGTGCGTGCCTTGCGATCCGCTCGCATGGCTGAAAGGGGGTAGTACGAGGGAAGCATGTTTTAGAGGAAGTCCGGTTCTCAGAGAAAAATAGGTCGATTTTGCTGCTCTCCTCTCTGCCAACACTGCACACCGACCGCTCGCTGTGTTTTTCATTTTTTCTTGTGGTCTACCTTACATAGACAACAGAAAAGTGTGTTGGGGTGGCGTGGGGCAGCAGGCAGCCTCCTCACAGTAACCCCCCCCAAGATTTGTACAGTACACATGCCAAAATACTCCGCGACGTCACCCAAAAGTGGCCTCGGTTGAAATCAGTACCTCTCTCTCGCCTAGAGCCTTCACGTTTGATAACAGTAGAGCGCACAGCTACAAGCACGGGTATCATACAGTCTTCCATGAGCCTTAAAACAAATCTGAGCACGCACGCGACGCAAAATAAACACGACCCCGTCGCACGTTCATCACACAGATCATCATCGGACGAGAAACTCGTGATCAACATGACTCCACACCACTCAACGCATTAGTTTTACAGCTAGTCTGTGTCGTAGCGGTTGACTGAGCGGAGCACAATTACCCGACCGACCCCTCCGCCCTTTTGGGACGAGACAAGCGAACTGGTGGTATCATCATCATTGTCTGTTCGGCCACGACGAATCTGCAGCACAGAGAGAGTTGGTCAACACTCAATAGCCTGGCAGGCTTTTCAGAAGAAAGTATTCGAGCACGAAACTGAGTGTGACACCCGCTTAAGAGCCCCACACCCCAAATCCTTTCAAGCGCGGAGAAAAAACGAGCATAAAGAGCCTCGCGAAGAAATAGGAGGTTCCTATCAAGTGGTGGCCGGTTGTGCGTGATCGACGCACTCATGGCCTATCCCTACGTCACATGTGATACTTTTCTTCGCGGTGGGGATCGCAAGCTCAAACCTTCTCCGTTGTCAATCGTGAGTCCAACCATGCCGAACCAACTACTGTACTTCAGCGTCCTCATTCTCCCCCCCCCCCCC